TACCGTGCATCAACCAGCAGTCTGAGTGGGTCTGGGTCCGGTTGGTACCGTGCATCAACCAGCAGTCTGAGTGGGTCTGGGTCCGGTTGGTACTGTGCATCCATGTCTCCATGGAGACGGGTTCCAGAGATGTTGTAACCTTTAGTCTGATTCCTGGAAACTGATCCAGGAGGAGAAACTGTCGGTCAATTTAGGACAAACCAGTCATTCAGTCCCAGTCCAGCCAATGGGAGACAGTCATCGTAATAACGACCATATTATTGATCTTGATGATCGTAAGGATCTGAACCAGACAACCTGCCGTGATCCAAGGACACGATAAATAACTGAACTGTTCTTTAGTTTCCACCTCGCCTCCCTGTATCACCATGAGCTCTTTAGCTCCCTCTGCTGACTGCAGAGGGCATGGCGGCGTTTTCTGTGCCTTCAGTCTGCAGATCATTTTCTCTCAGCGCATGCAGACCATCGTCATCGTTGGCAGGCTGGAGGAAAGCAACAATAGCCGTGGGAGGAATATATGAATAAAACCGATGCAGCAGGAAGGCAGATCATCTTTATACAAATCAACCAGATTAAAAGAAAATGGCTACAAGGTGCACTAAGATTTAGTTTGATCATTATTAGTTGATTCTGATTATTACCTCCATGGCTTAGAACCTCCTCTTTCTTCTTCCACCCAGAACAGTCTTCTCATTTTAATGGGCGGAGCCAAACCTTCAGGCGTCTTAACATTCACAGAGCAGTCTTTGTGTCACCAACAACACGCCCACTAAAAAAGATACATGAACGCCGTAGCGCCTGTGATCCTGCAGATGGATGTTCTCCACGTGTCCATGAGCAAGCTCTGCTGATTTAGTGTTCCTCTGGAAATGAAGCAGTCATGTGTGGAACCTGGAGAACATCTCAAACATGCAGGAAGGGATCCACTAGAGGAGTGGAGTCTGTTAATTAAGGCTACTTCTGTGTGGGAGGGGAACCGGTTGGGGTTGCTAGGTAACAGCGGTTGCATATACTAAGGACAAAGCGCTTCACTGTCTTCAATGATGAGCAGTTAAGAAAACATGCAGGTTCAGACATAAAATCCACTTTAAGCAGCTCAGAGGAAGTGAAGGCCTGAGAGGAGCTGCGGCGCAATCGAACCCACGTCACATACTCGTTAGTTTGCTGCTTAAGGTGGACATAGACGCGCTGCTGCAGCCTAGAACAGTAACGGGTAGAATGTACAACACGCCCCAGGTTCTGATGTGGACCAATCATATTTTTGGTATCCAGCACAAGAAGGTGACCATGAAGTAAAACATTCAGAGCAAAGCTAACGTCTGCGGAGGCCGGGATCAAAGGGGAGGAGATCTGATTGGACGAGCGTTTGATTCGCCTCTAGAGCAGAAGCATGTGCATGAAGCTAATGCTTCCATTAGCGTCTCTTCTTAGGGACGCAGAGAGGGTCCAGATCCCGCCGGTCCTGAACCAGCGTCTCTTCATGCTTCGGTTTTCAGAGCAACCAATCAAAGTGATGGAGGTTCCCACATTAAAAAGGCCTTATTGTTGCATATTCAGAATATTGCTTTGATTTGGGTTTTAACAGAACATGGATTTGAGTCTTTTTTGTATGAAGACAAACTGGGATTATTGTCTGGATCTCATCATATGCTGATGATACTTCTATATTCAATAAGCCAGTCGGCTAAGGTGAGCCAACACCTACAGAACCAGAACCTGTGGGGAGTTTCTCCAGAGAAGCAGCTCTCTGCTCTCCTCAGGCCGGTCAGGCTTGGCCATCCCATAATATGAATGGATGTGAAAGAGGAAGGTCAGTATGAGGCTTTCTGCTCTAAACATCACCTCAGGACAGAGCAGTGATCCGTTAACAGACCTCATACTGAGCAGCAGGGGTTACTACGCACTAATCAGAAGTATGGAGCAGAACCATGGCTTTAGCCTGATTCAGGAACAAACATCTCCAGCTTGTGTTTTACACCCTTCTGTAGATGAAAGTGCTTGTGTCGGGGCAAGGAGAGAAATCTGATTTCTCTCCCTGTTTTCAAACTTCTTGCAAAGCGACTCGCTAGTTTCAGTTTGATGAAATAAAGAGAAAGCTTCTGTCTTTGGGTCGGTGATAAAAAAAAAAAAAAAAGTCAGCTTATCTCAAAAATGGCTAAAGTGCAAACAAACACACATAGAAACATTCGAGCCAGTCTGGAACCAATGGAGGCTTGTTTGCATATATCAAAAGCAGCACCTGCATGGATGAGGGGTTTAAAGCAGACCGCCTGGATAAAGGCTGACAGATCCTGGGACAACAGGGTCCATCCGTGGGATGCAGCTGGTTTAAAAGCTTCTCAGGAACCACAGACCGTACAAAGTCTTCCTGCTTCCAGAAGCCGCTCACACATCTACACCAACCCACAGCTGTCATAAAAAACCCCAGAAGCTGTCTTTGTAACTATGCAGTATTATAAAGCAGAGGTCATTCAGGCGGCGCTGGAGGCCGAGCAGCATCCGTGGCGTTGCCTCCAGGTGGGTCTCCTGCTATGAAGATCAAGATAGATTCACATATCTTGATGTTTCTGTCATTCTCTAATCAAACTGAAGATATTTTCCATCTGGTAAAGTCTTGGTCAGGTTGTTTCCTTTCCTCCCGGAGATGATGTCAGGATCATCAGCTTTCTGCAAACGTTCCTTTAGTTGCCAAGATACCAAGACTGAAAAAGAAAAAAACAAAGCAAAACAAAACATTGGTGAGAATGGCAACCAGAAAAACCGAACATCAGTCAAAACCAATCTACCGTCTGACCCACCATTCAACGCAACGACTGACTCAACGACCGACCCACCATTCAACGCAACGACTGACCCACCAACCGACCCACCATTCAATGCAACGACCAACCCACCATTCAACACAACGACTGACCCACCATCCGACCCACCATTCAACACAACGACTGACCCACCAACCGACCCACCATTCAACACAACGACTGACCCACCAACCGACCCACCATTCAACACAACGACTGACCCACCATTCAACGCAACGACCAACCCAC